GCTAATTCTGTCAGGGTAGGAAGGTGTCTGTCTTACTCCATGGAACAGCTCATTATATAGAATGGCAGAACTACTGACTGTTGACCAAACCAGCCTTGCCTTCCTCCTGGGAAGAGCTGGACTCCATTTCCCAGACGGTCTTGCTCCTAGGTATAGCCAGGCACCTGCATTCTGGCCAATGGGCTGTGAGGGGATGACAGGGCCACTTCCAGACCTAGACCAACACACCTCCCAGGCATGATGGCTTCCTAGCATGGGAACAACCAGGATGCTTTTGCAAGCCATGGGGTTCAGATGGTGAAATCAAGAGACAGGAAAATGCTGGGAGACCAACTGCCTGAAAAGCAAAAGTGTTCATTTTAAACTTTATGCGAAAAACAAAGACATTCTATTGTGTCAAGACCCTGAGATTTGGGGGTTGTTCCAGCAGTTCACCTACCCTAATACAAAGAAGCTATGCTCACTGGAGAATAAACATGCAATGGTTTTATTTTCTCAATAACTATGCCTGTCACTTCTCACCTTCCCTTTGAGTAGCTGCTCACTTGGTGATTTTCCCGGGGCCCAGAGTGTGTGCCAGTCTTAGTTATTCTAACAGTCTCATTAAGGATCTCTCCAATCCTTAATTCTGCTCCTTTACATCTGGTTCAAACTCTTTTTGTGCCACTCCTATAGCACCCAAGGTGGCCCTTGGGTATTGGGGTGTGCTGGCATAGATGGGGGTTACTTCTCCTCGACTCTTCCCTGAACTGCACCCTGGGCACTGGGGTGGGAAGGAGGCAGAGGGGAAACGCAGACATCTCTATGCTTGCCAGGCAAGGTTGCAGTTCCCTCCCTGGTGGATGGTGTTGTGAACTGGGGCAAGGGCATCCTCCCAACCAGCTCTTCTGGGCACTGGGGTCTGTTGTGAGTTCTAATCCCAAATCTCAGCTGACTTCCTGCAGGTGGCATCTTGCCTGTCTGTCTTGCACTATGAGAATTCTGGAAAGTCTGAGGGCTCGTGTCACCCTCTTTCTTCCATCAGTGGCCAGGCCTGTGGTCCCACAGAAACTTCACCTTCTGCTCCTCTTGGGGACAGGGCAGGAGGTATATCTGGCCACACTCTCTGCTTGGCAGAACCCCATTTGCCATCAGTCCCCAGTTAGATTTTCCTTGCCTCGTAACCATTAAAAGCAAATCTTGTGTGTAAGCAGCTGTCCAAGAAAGACACAAATGCCAGTCGCCCTTTTTCTCAGCCTCCCTTAAACTTTATAAGTGGTTCTCCTGCGTGTTCCCACAGCTTCAGGGAACAGACGCTCACCTCTGCCCAAAGCAATTGTTCCCACCTCTCAGTATGCTTTATATACTGGTCATGGGGAAGAAGCAGTGGTGGGCCACAGCCACAACACAACAGAAGTCCCACTGGCACCAAATCCCTCTTATAACAGTGTCCTCTCTGTGCCTTGCTCAGTGGCTGGACGTGCAGGTTCTCAGATGCTTTTGGAACCAGAGGTGTATCCTCTATCAAGTTCCAAGAACTCCAGCCCAGGTGGGAAAAACGCTAGTCTGTAAAAGTCCCCAGATGGCCAGGTGTCTGTGTCAGAGGGCAATCTTAGTGTGCGGCTTTGGAAGCCAGAGGGTCTGGCCTCAGCTCCACTCTTGCCTAGCTGTGCTGGCTGAAGGGCTGGGGGTAGGCAATCGGGCCTGCACCTCCTGGCCCAGAACTGGCAGATTTCTCCACTAGATGGCACTCACATTATAATGTTTCCTCATTTTTAATTCTGCTTTGAAAAAAATTGTCACTTTTTATACCGTTGAAGAGCACAAATGGAACTATGACTTAAAATGTACGTAGTTGATCCTACACATGACCATCTTCGGAATTCTGTCTCATTTCTAAGAGTTGTCAAGTTTTCCCCCTTTGTGGGTACAGGCTGGAGAGTGAGGGACCCGCTGTGGCGTGGCTGACCTGTGCCCCAGGCCAGCACACACATCACCTGGAAGTGATCCCAGGTTGGTCCTCCTTCCTCATAACCTGCCCTGAGTTCCTGGCCTAGGCCCAGACCCCAGACATAGCTGTTGGGCTCCTTCCTGTGCTGTTAGTTCACTGCTCTCAGAGTTTGCCACCCGGCACCCTCGGAACTCTCAGGTGCGCTAGCTGCCCCTCTCTCCCCAAGCCTGAATTTCTTCTTGGCCTTTGCACATTTCCCTGGGGAGGCCATGCTTGGTGCACACTGGCATGGCCCACTTGGTGATACTTCCCGTTCCTGCCCCCGGGTAACTGTCCTCAACCTAGAATAAGTCCTTATGGTGCCTTGAACTCAAGAAGAAAATGTCCCCAGACTCCTTAAGGGCAGAGACTGGATCCTGCTCATCTCAGGGCCACTCAAGGCTGGCTCAAAGTTGCGGTCACACTAGCAGTCTGCTGAGTTGGGCATGAATGGGTTTCTTGGCCTTCCTGTGATAGCGTGTTGCTGTGGTTTAAGATAGGTCTTCTTCTCATTCATTCTTAGCCCCAACATGGCCTACAGCTGAAGGCTTAGTCAGAAACTGCTGTAACAGGAAGCCCACCCTTCTGGGGTCAGGCTGACCTGGGAGGGTTCAGGCTCCCCTACCTTCCAGCTGTTTGGCCTTAGGCGATTCACCTTATCCCTCTGGCCTGACACCTACATGGGCTATGAAGGGCGGGGAGCTTTGCCAGCTGCAGCCAGAACCAAGCATGAGCCTCGAGTGCAGCCTCCCATGTCTCATCTGAGCAGGCTGATAGGAAGTACCCCAAATCTGGAGCCGCTGGCAGAGGGGGAGCAGTGGGGGCCACTCTCGGGCCCCGGGCAGCACTGGGATTGTGTTCCGCTCTGCAGACAGCCGCACCACGCTTCGCAAAGGCAGACTGGACTGCTCACTGCCCACTACCCGTCTCGTTCTCCCTGAGCTGCTCAGCAGCCACACAAAGGCCAGAGGACAGAGATGGGCAGCTCTGGGGAGCAGCTGTGGGGATCTGCAGGAACCTGGTGCAGAGGCAGGCTTGAGACAAAGGAGTTCGGGAACTTTCCTTTCCATAACCAAGTCCTTAGACATCCCCAGCCAGGAGGGAAAAATGCTCGAATCTGCAGGGGGCCTCAGATGGCCAAGTGCCTGTGTTGGAGGGCAAGGTAAGTGTGTAGCTAAAAGCCAGAATGCCTGCGCTCAAGCCCCAACCCCGCCGCTAGCTGTGTGTCTAGCTGGAAATTCTTTCTGAGCCCCACTGTGTGCTTTTGTACAATAGGTATAACGATATTCCCTATCTTAGAGGGATATTGGGAGTACTGTGAGAGGCAGAATAACGATCCTCAAAGATGTCCATCTTCTAACTTCTGGAACCTTGTGACTATGTTACCTTACATGGCAAAGGGTCTTCTCCTACCTCCCCCATACCCCGACACTGCTGGCAAGAGTCAAATAAATTATTGTAAATAGCTGTGGCCCAGATAATGAACATGCACAAAGGTGGTGTCCCTTACCTGGTCCGTGGGTCGCACACTCAGTGCCTTTCTGAACTGATGGCTGGAGTGTATTGACCTCTACCTTCTAGTTCTAGCCTTGACTTGCCGCCCCTCCTCTAGATGGCAGGACCCTGCCTACCTCACTACTTGCATTTCTTCTCTATCCTAATAGCTGAGCCCCTTTCCCCTGGTTTCACAGTCAACCTTTGTTTTCTACTCCATACCCCAGGATCCCTTCATTACCAGCTTCTGATGTGCAGTTTTACTACCAAGATTCTTGCATTAGATGAAAAGGAATACCCAAGTGAAATCACAGGTACTTGAATTTTGCCCAGGGTCATGCGGCTGGAAAGGGTGTTCCTGCACTCAGCTTCAGCCTGTGCCCCTGGGAACTCTAGTATTGACAGGGCAAAGATAGGCAGGCCCCTGTCCCAGGCAGGATCCGCTCATACCTGACCTTAGAAAGGCCTGAGCCTGGGGTGCTCCCTCAGTGGACAGCCAACAGACAGATGAATTCTCAGAGTGGCTAGGGTGCTTTGTGACCAGTCAGAGACTTACTGGCTCACAGGGCCCCAGTGAGGCCCTAGCGCAGTCAGTTCACAGCCATCACGCTGTCAGTAGCCTCCCTCCTTGGGCATCTGCGACTGTCCCTGAAGGCTGTCTCTGTCCGCAGAGTTTGGTCCATGTGAGGGTAGACCAGAAATGCCAGTCACTCCCCAGAAAGCAGTTCTCAATGACCGGGGGTGGGAGTGGGTGGATACAGCCCAAGCCTTACTTCTTGGGTGAGACCCCTCTGAGGCCCGTTTTGCACTGTGTCCAGAGCCCCTTTGGGAACTGAGCCTGGGTGGCGGCAGCCACAATCCACTCACTAGCACACCCTGGCTGGCTTTCCTCCCTTCCCTGACTCCCTTCCTCATGCCAGATCCTTGTCTCAGGCTCTGCTTCTTGGGGAGGCCAAGCTAAAGAAAAGAGTCCCTGGCAGCGGCGCCAGCCCTGCCATGCACACCGGCTTATCTGGAAGGCACTATTACTTAGTTCATTAACAATGACATTGTGAAACTCGAGAGTTTAAAATGTTGTTTTGTAACTGCTAATGCAACAGCAGAGCAGTTCTTTAGGCGACGTTGTTCCCCTCCCTCCTGCCACATCCGAATTCTCTGCCTTGGAATTTATAATCATCCTTACTTAAATATTCTCAGGTTGTGCAACTGTTTTTCCCTGGCTTCATTTCCAGGTATTGTGTTTACACTTTCACCCTAAGATGTTCCCATTGACTAGTTTCTTTCCTTGCATTTACTGTGAATTTACAAATCCTCATTTTCTAATTACCCAAGAGCTCATTATCCAGATAATTGATAGGACTTTCTAATTTCTTCCGCATGCGAGTATCCTGTCGATTTGGCCTACATTTCCAAGTTGCGCCTGGAGACAGTGCTTCGGCTCCTGTGGGAGGAGTGTCGTGAAAGTCCGCCCTTCCAAGGCCAGGGACATGGGGACACCCCCACCAGGGCAGCAGAACTGGAAGGTGCTCAGGCCTACCTGGGCTGATCTCAAAGAGGTGCTTCCCTGGGTCCTCAGGGCCAGGAAGAAGTTCGGTCACCTGGGTCCCTTGTAGAGAAATAAATCCCTAAAAAGGAGGCAAACACAAACACAAGGAGCATGAGATAATGGGGAGGGGACTGCTGTTGTCAGTGGCTCTAGAGAGCAGAGGGTTGGACCTGGGGCCCTCCAGGCCCTCCCCTTCCCTGGCTGGGAAGGTTGGGCCTCAGGGAGGCACATGCCTTCTCTCCCAGGGAGAGATGAGGCCTACTCAGGGTCCCAGGTGGACTGAGGTGGACACTGTTGTCTGCACACATGGTTGGAGGAGCTCCGCTCACAGGCAGGGGCAACTCCGGAGCAGGGAGGGAGGCTCCCACCTCCGAGAGTGCCTGATTCAGTGTGCCGCCTCTGGCCTTTCTGGGCCAGCAGGGTTTTAGGCTGGTAAGTGTCAGGGAGAAGCGTGGCACCCTGGCTCCTGAGGTGACATGGGGGAAAGGACCAACAGATCTGTGTGCGTCCAGTCCTGCCACCTCTTGGCTAGGTGAGATTTCATTTCTTTACCTATGAGATAGGAGTCAGCTACCATGCACGTGGTATCCCGCACTGAGAGTGCCAGGTGCATGGGCTGCCTGTGAATGCATGACAGAGGGCTGCTTCACCTCTGTTTCTAATGCTGAAGTCTGGCAGCTGGGCTGAAAAATGCAGAAAAAATCCATGGGGTATAGGGATGGGGAGGCTGGCTTTGAGTCTCAGCCTTGCACTTCCAGGCTGTATGACCTCAGGTAAGCCGCCCAATGTCTCTGAACCTCAGTTTCCACATCTGCACAATGGGACACTAACTTACACGTCTCAGGAGGGTGGAGATGCCGCATTCCTGTGTGGTAAGTCTGACTCGAGAAGATGAGGTGTTGTCATACTGCTGTGACTGACCCTTCCCGAACCCCCAGGTTAGGCAGAGCCTCCTTTATCCTTCTTCTGTATGTCAGTGACTGCAAGCTCTGCTGAGGCCTTTCTTTATTTCATTCATGACTGGTTTTGCTCAGCTCAGACTTGGTATGGCTTGACTACACATTTCTGGCCCTCTCAATGGAAAATCCATTTTAAACTCCAGCCCTGCAACCAACTACCTGGGTTCAAATCCTGGCTCAGCTACAGGAACATTGCTCAACCAGTCTGTGCCCAGTTTCCTTATCTGCGAAACAGGAATAATAAAGTACTCTGTGGGGATATTTGTAGCATCAAATGAATTAGCACTGGGAAGTTCTTAGAGCAGTGCCTGGTACACAGTGGGAACTGTGTGTTTGCTAAGTAACTGCCTGGTATTACTGTTTGTCAGGGCTCCACACCTAGTGGGGCACAGCATCTCTGTGCCTGCATTTGCCCAGGTAAGGGGCAAAGTTACCTGCTAGATCCAGGTTGCCTCCTGCTCCCACCTCTATTGTGTTCACAGAGCACCCCCCCTCCATATTTTCCAGGCAAATCCTGCCTTTCACAGGGTGATGGGAGCCTCCCACGTGCTGCTGGAATCTTGTACTGCAAGGACACATGAAAATGAGTCTTGTCATTTAAGCAACGTTAATGCAGAAAGGCAGAACATTTTCTTTACCCACAGATGCTTGCTTTAGAGGAATTACAGCAATAAACCAGAGAACCAGCTGGTAATCTTCGTAACTGAATTAATGGTTACTTTCTTGTTAGAGAACTTGGAGCTACTGGAAATAAATTAGGATTGCAGCCCCAGGATGGAGAAATGTGCTCATTAGAGGGCGTGGGTGAGATCCATCACTGGCTAATGGGATGCATCACGGGCATTTGCTATTTCAGTAACCGAGTTTCTGTGTAATTCTGGGTACTCTGCTGTTTTTTCTGTGTCCCAATATCTGTCATCCATACAAAGAAAGTAACAATATTGACAGTGACATTGCTTTCCACTACAGCTAAATGGAAAAGCAGTAATAGCTTCTGTTTATGAAGATTGTACTATATTTCTGGCTCTTTGCCTAAATTATTGGATTTAATGTGGAGGACCCAGGAGGTAGGTACTACTATTCCTGTCTTCCCAGACAAGCAGACAGAGGTCAGAGAGGTGAGATGCAACCAGCCCTGTGCCCACCGCCCACAAGGGTGTGCTGGGGATGTTGGCTCACGTGTGCCTGATACTGAAGCCCCAGGCTTTACTCTTTGCTTCCTTACCTTTATCATGGCAGCCACCAGCTGACTTTGTTTGCAAGAAGCCACAGCGGAGAGCCAGGCTGTGACTGTGGGATCCACTGCTAACTTCCCAGGGAAATCCCAGTGTGGCCCCGACTGCTGCAGGGGGTCCTATTACTGGCCCTTGGCTGCCCAGATTCCTCTGCCTCCCACAGGTCAAGAATGTGGCTTTGATCTCAGGGGATTCAGGACTGGGTGGGGGGTGGGGGCCTGGGTAGTAGAGGGAGTCTGCTCTCCAGTCCCTGGTATGACATTTGCTAAAACTGTGATGAAAAGACGTGAATGGAGTCAGAATGTAGGACTCAGCTGAGATGCTCAGGGTAGGGATCAACCTTGCCTTGGAGTCACCTCAGGGCCTGTTAAAACATGGAGAGCCTAGTGTTTTGTTGGTGGTTAACAATGAGCTCTCTGAGAGAAATAAAGTACCTTGGTTTGGAGTGTTTGCTAATCTCAGTGATATAAATACCTTCCCCCTCCATGGCCTATTTTATGACATCATTGCATGTGGAGCTGAGAAGAGATGCACCTTAGTGTTTGCACCACACAGATGCAATAGAGGTCAGCAACCGCTAGAGCCTAAGGCATAGTATGTGAAGTCATAGTACATGAAGTCAGGAAATGACATATTTTGAGTACTTTTTAGCCTTTGCTTTTACTATAATTTATTTATTGGTAGGTTTTTGTGATTTCTTTTTTTTTTTGAGACAGGGTCTTGCTCTGTGGCCCAGGCTGGAGTGCAGTGGTGAGATCATGGTTCACTGCAGCCTTGACTTCCTGGGCTCCAGTGATCCTCCCACCTCAACCTCTAATTGAGACCACAGGTGTGTGCCACCACGCCCAGCTAGTTTTTGCTATTTTAAGTTTTTCAAGAAATGGGGTCTCCCTATGTTGCCCATGCTGGTCTCAAACTCCTGGGCTCAAGCAATCTTCTTGCTTTGGCCTCCCAAAGTGTTGGAATTACAGGCATGAGTCACCCCACCCAGCCTGATTTAATTTCTAATAGTGCAACTGTTGAATCAGAATAATGCTGGACCCCACCCTCGAGTTTCTGACTCTATAGGTCTGGGGAAAGTGGGATCATTTATTATTTCTAACCATTTTTCTGATGCTGCGAGCCCTGGGGAATACACTTTGAGAACCGCTGGTCTAGGGGCACTAAGGGAAGGTGGCCAGAGGATGAGGCCTTTTTCATGAGCTCACTTAGCACCTGTTTCCTCACCTGGAAAATGAGGACAATAATAGTATCTGCTTTGTGAGGCTGTTGTGAAGATTAAATGATTTGATATCTGGCCCCAGTGGCCTTAGAGAGCCTGGTTTTTGCCAAGATTCTGTGCTTTGGGCACATGCAGGTGACAAGGACCAGTACCTGCTTCTGACACCTCAAACAGTGCCCTCAACTATGAGCATCCTGGAAATTCTTCGAGGAGCCTAAAGTGAGTATCAGCACTTTGCCAGCTGGCCTTCCTACTATAGTACCAGGTCAGGGCTTGACTGTTTGTATTGGGGAAGGAACCAGGCACACAGTTTGCACCCAGAACTGCACAGTTTGCAGATGGGCACCTGGGTACAGAAAGAGTGTGTAAACTCCGGGCACATGATAGATTTCCACGTTGGGCCATTTCCCCCTTCCCCATGTGTCCAAGCTCATGTTCATTTGCTCTGTTAGGGAATTGCTCAGTCTATGTATCTAAGTTCCTCCTGAGAGGCTGCAGCTGACTTAATGCATCTCTAGCTCCACACAAATGCAGTCCATTGGTGTAAGTAGCTAACGGATAAAGAATGTGCCATTCTGTCTTCATCTAGGAGGGTTCAGTATTTGCAAGTTTTAGACATTGCATAATTGCTTTCAAAAAGTCTTTATCAAATTATGTTCCATCAAAAGTGTATGAGAATGCCCATTTCTGTATGCTGTTCCCATTGCATGGTTGTTAAATAATGGCTGTACTTTTATTTATTTATTATTATTATTATTATTTTTTGAGATGGAGTTTCACTCTTGTTACCCAGGCTGGAGTGCAATGGCACGATCTCGGCTCACCGCAACCTCTGCCTCCTGGGTTCAAGCAATTCTCCCGCCTCAGCCTCCTGAGTAGCTGGGATTACAGGCACACACCACCATGCAGCTAATTTTTTTTTTTTTTAGTAGAGACGGGGTTTCACCATGGTGACCACGATGGTCTCGATCTCTTGACCTAGTGATCCACCCACCTCGGCCTCCCAAAGTGCTGGGATTACAGGCTTGAGCCACCGCGCCCAGCCATGACTGTCCTTTTAAATGAAGAATCTTATGACGTATTAATTGACCATTTGTATTTCTTCTATTAATTCCTTGTTAACACCCTTTACCCATTTTTTGATTGGGTTATCTTTTATTTTAACAATATATTTTATCTATTTATATTGGATAACCCAATATATCCAAAAATCAGCATTTCAACAAGTCATCAATATAAATTATTAATGAAATAGTTTACATCTTTTATAGTAAATCTTTGGAATCCACTTATAGCATATCAGATTTACATACCAAGTTTTTATCAAATACATGTGATCTGTATTTAGATCTTATCAAATTTGAAGTAGATTTATGTGCCCAAACTGGTTCCTATATACTGTAGTAGGTAGAGTAATGGCTCCCCAAAATATGTGCCTCTCCTTATCCCTGGAACATGCGAATATGTTATGTTACATGATAAGCATTTAATTAAGGTTGCAGATCGAATTGGAGTTGCTAACCATCTGACCTTAAATCTAATAGTATTAGAACTCCAACTTGATTATTCTATTTCAAACTTATCTGGCTTTTCTAGGCCCTTTAAAATTCTATATGAATTTTAGAATCAGCTGGTCAGTTTCTATTAACAGAAAAATGCCACT